CTCTCTTTCCCCCGTTCTGCTGACAAATACACAAAAAACACTGTACAGTGTTCTTCAGGGATGAATAAGCACAAGATTCCTGTGGAAGATGCCCCATATTCTAATCCTTTGCATACTTTGGAGTTTATCACATACAACCTTAACAAAAATTATTCTGCTTTTTCAAAGTAGAACTGTTAAAATCTTACCCTATTACATGTAAGAAAACACTGTGCACTGGATCTTGTTTCTGGCATTGTTCTTAAAGGGCAAAGCTTAGACTTGGTGCTTCAGCAGTTGTTCTCAAGATGGCCCCTTTCCTAGGCAGCAGATACGGCTTTGGTTCCGAAGCTGACTTACACTGGAAGGAGTCCCCAAACAGGGCTTGCTTGAAGCTTGATGCATGGCACAAACATTGGGAGAGAAGTATGTGGGATACTGGAGGGGACTTCTCGTTTTTCATGGTAGCTAGCCACTAGATGGGCTTAACTGTAATATCAAACTGCACCCAAACTTTGACACCAGCACAGGTTCAGGTTTTAACTTTATGTGAATTGACTTATTTGACAAACAGCTATATGGGTGGGGACTTTCTGTGAGGCTCAATAGGCTTCTGTAAGAGGAGTTGATTTGTTAGGTCAGATAGGTGTTACACCATTGTGATACTAGACATTTTTGACTTGCGCGTAGTGGGAACATTGGGATCTCAACAGCATTCGCAGTAAGGCATTTGAATCATTCTTGTGACTCTGTGTGGTTTTGTAATTTCTTTAGATATGCCAGGCTAAATCCTGACTCAGGAGAATTGCTAATCTTTCAATTAATTGATTTCACTTAATTGTAATGTTCTTCTCTTACTCTAAACTACTACATTTTTACTGGCCTGATGCGTATGTTTCTTGATAGCCTTGTGCATTTCCTTATTTCTGCAACAGTTAGCTTGCTTAAGTGTTCTTGCAGTCTTGCTCTGAATTGTAGTGCTATAGGGCAAAGAACACTTGTTGCTACTTGAAGTATACAATAGTATTTGGTGCTCAGTGTAGCTTTATCAAATACACGTTTTGCTTTCATGTTGGAGTTGTGCTGTAGTTTCATACATATTGCTGTTCACTGGAGTGTAAAGAGAAGAGGGATTTGTGTTTTGGCATTTTTTTGTTGTTGTTGTTTTAGGGTTTTTGTTAGTTTCGTTTTAAGCATAATCTTAATTCCCCCTTGCAAGCTTTCTCCAAGGAAATAGGCAACTCATACAAAGTCAATGTAATTTCTTGAGTTAATACAGTGCTGGAGTAGAGCAGATTTTTTTTTTTTTTTTTTTTTTTGGTAAGCAAATGAAAAGTTTTGAACTGTTAAAGCCTGATTCTCCAACCTGGTCTGTGCACATCTGCCTGTAGTTAGTCCTTTTGTGGGGAAACCTGTACAGAAATAGATGTTCCCTTGTCTGATTTGCTGGTATATTACTGTGATTCTTGCTTTGGGGCTAAAATCACTTGCGTTACTCTCCAGGAAAACATTATGTCTAACTTAATACAGTTCTGAAAAGGCCTGCCTGGTGAACCTCGAGGATCTGTAACTTTGGTTTTGACACTAGAGATAGCAGGTTAGGTACAACTGAACCACTAGGTAGCAAGCGTAATAATTTAAAGCTATTCGGGACTCCATGACATTTCTAGAGAGTAGTGTATATCAGATATCATGTCTGGATGTAGAGGTGGTTTGTAGCACATTGTAGAACTTGGGAAGCTTCTAGAAGTCCTCAATCAACTCATATATATTCTATCTTGAAGATGTGTGCCTGATAATTACAAGAAACAACTGATAATAAGTTAAGTACATACATATATTTGTCTTTCAGGTCTCCTGTGCATGATTAAAAATCTATGTAATCAGCTACAGTGTGCCTGTAGGCTAGAAATTTGTTTATTTTTTCAAACTCCTCATAAATATTGTCAGGGAAAGAAGAGAATTTTAATTTCATTCATTCAGAAGTGTATTATTTAAGATTGGAAAGAAGAGAATTTTAATTTCATTCAGAAGTGTATTATTTAAGATGTCTGCGAGGAATTGCATTTTTTAACAGTTCATTTTAGAAAATTCATAGAGGACATTGGCTTGTGTATACCATCTTGTGATAAAAGCTTTCACTTGCAGTGTAGCCTGCAAACGATGGTACCTACTGTTAGCCTATCTCTAATTAGTGTGGAGGAGGGGAAGAAAGGGGACCTTTTAATAATTCAGTAATTTGGAAAAGTAATTAATTGAATAAGCAGTATGGAATGCAATACACCCATTGTTCGTGTACTTCAATTTCCTATTAGAGGTCTGCAGATACTGAAATCCCCTAATTTACTTAAAGTGGGCTCATTTTTGTATTGTTTACCTCATGCTCAGCATGAAGGGATCCTGCAGTGAAATGTGAACTTTGCAAAAATCATGCATTACGCTAATGACATTGACATTTTGGCTCTGTGAGGAATATATATTAAGAACAATGATAGTAAGGAAGAGTCTTTAATGTATTCCATTGAAGAGGTGTATGTTCTCCAAAGTCAGGGTATTGATTCAGCTCACATTTTATAAAAGTATTACTCTTGTCTTTCATCTTGCATCTTTCTTGCACTGTTCTTAGTACGAAATAGTGCTTCAGTTTGCCTTTCTAGTGTGCTTGTAGTACTGTGCACCACTAATACATAAGGGTTTTCGATACAGATGATGAATCCTTCTTTTTGGATGAAGCCAATCCCTCCCTTCTTCCCCTGCTAAAATGCCAAGCCTTTATGTTGGTTGGTTTGGGGTTTTTTTTGTTGTATTTTGTTTGTTTGTTTTTTTAATTTAATTGCAAATTGTTTTGGTATGGAAGGACCTGGATATGCTTTAGTGGATTTTATAGACTTCAAATTGTAAGGTCAAAAAATATATATACATTACTGTTTGCTTTACTTTACTATATTTCTCTTTATTTTGTGATCATCAGAGTTTCTTTTCACCTTTCAGAAAACAGAGCAGTACGTGAAGGCTTGACAAATGCATTCCAGGTTGAAAAACTGCTGCATTCCTCCTCCTCTTCCTCCTTTAGAAAATTGACTTCTTTAAAGAGGTAAAGTTGAATGTTGCACTTTCTGTAGAAAATGTTTGAGGTTTTTTTTCCTAGGCAAACTGAACTAAATCTCACCTTCTTCTGTAGCATGTCTTGTGGTGTTTTAAATTAACTTATATCTGTTTCTTATTCTGATGACTGATATCTGGTCCCCTATCTATTGAAAAGGATGGCTTTGGAAACCTTTGTTTGCAGACATCTATTTAGTTATAGTGTTGTGTTATTTTATAGAATTATTTGTCAGCGCTTCTGCTGCAGTAAATCACCCAAGTGTTACTTGAATTTAATTTAGTCTAATGTTATTTGTGAATCTGACATCTTTTAGGATATTTAAACATGCTGTAGAAATCTGAGGCAGTTCCTTCCTTACCCACGGGAGTTTGTATTCTCTGAGTGACTTGCTGCCAAGGGCCATGCTACATCCTGTATGTAGCCCTGTACAAAGTTGCTAACATTGAACTTACAGCTTCCCAACACAATTTTTATATCTTATTTTACTTCATTTTCTGTTTAACAAATACTGATCTGTACTTAAACACAAATCTTTTTTCAGAAATCAAAACAAGTATGTTCTGAGACCAGAACAGGTGATTCCAATCATGTAGTCTGGCTGTTTAAAGGACATTTATCATAGGACTTCCGTGATGTAACTTGTGTATCAAACCCATAACTTTTGGTTGAGCCTAAATAATTGTCAAAACACATCTGAAAGAAGATTCACTGTATGTTTACCTTAATAAATTTTACAACAAATTCTGCAAATAGTAACGCTTAATATGTTCTTGACATTACTTGTATAAAGTTGATAAGCATAAGTGTTTATGGGATTAAAGATGATTGTAGCAGTCTTCATCTTGTTATCGTTTGGTTGTGGAAGTGTTTCTCTTCCCCCCATCCCAGGCTAAAAGAACTTCAAAGAATTTGACTGTATTGAAGGAAAAAATAAAATAAAATAAAAAAAAAATGTGGGGGGCTTTGAAGCTGATGGGTATTTGTAGTTTTTAGGAAAAATGTGGTCTCAATTTATCCCTTTTCAGGTCACTATTCTTCGGTTTTAGTCTCTAGTATTAGGCTATGGCTTCATTTCACTTCTTTAGATTAAAATTTTCTGGGACCTTAATCACTTGCAGGTATTGCCCACCTGGTCTGAGAGCACGCAGAAAGACAAAATGACCCTTGTTGCTTAGACCTATTTAAACATCAAGCAAAGGTGTCTAATGATGCGTTGTGTTTCAAACATTGTTGCTATTGCCTTGAGAATTAAATTTACGAGAATTCAAAAGGTGTTAGAATATGACTGTTGTATATAAAATGGAAAATTAAAACACTTGTCCTTGCAAGTTTTTGTTTTTTTTTTTTTTGTTTCTGAGAATTCCAATGTACTTTTAGAAGAGCTAAATCTTGCTGTTTGAACGAGAAGCCTCAAAATTCTTTAAGAACAGGGTTTAAGGAGTAAGATCTGCTATTAGGATTTCTAATAACTGGTTTTATGAAACTGCTTTAATTTGAGCTGTATCTAGAACTGTCGTTACAGTGTCTCACATGATTTGTTCCATGATGCTCTTTACTTTGTTCCACTTGTCTTTTCTTTGTACTATATTCAGTAAGGGAACAAGAATGGGATGTTGTGTCCATCTTAAATAATGTACATTTTGGCCTGAAGCACTGAATCATTCTTCTTCCTCCTCCCCCATTTATGTGCAGTACTTGTGACTAAAAGTCTGAAGAGAACAGTTTAATCATTGTTAGAAAATGGGACCAGTTATCCAAAACACAACTTTTCCTATTGTTTGATATTATATCATTCTATTGGAAATATGTTAACATGGTGTAGGATTGGGGTAGGATTTTACAAAACAGTTTTGCTGCCAGAACTCTTATTTACTTTCTTTTTTCCGTTCTGTTCTAAAGGTAAGAGAGAAGCAAAAGTAGTAAGAAAATGCTGGGATCAGAACGAGGTGTTGTAGAAGAATGGCTGTCAGAATTCAAGGTGAGCTGAGAAGATGAATGATAGTTATATCATTCGTTTTATGCCATAGAACACTTGGGTTTTTTTTAAATATGCAATAGTTAACCTTTAAAATATCTATTACTTCATCTTTCAACTTCCTATAATTCATAAAGCATGCAAAGGTCTATGTAAATGAGTCAGCTGATACACAATATACAATGCATAGGCCTAATAGTAATTTCTTATTGTAGAGCAGAACACTGATATAGCAGCGTGGGGTTTTCTAAAGCATATATTTCTGTGTAGATCAAGCTGATAAAATTTAACTAACAGCTGGATAACGCTGCCCAAATTTCTAATTAAGCAACTTTTTTATTTTTAAAAAATAAGTAGAAATGTTTGGAGCTTAAAAAAATACTAAAGAAAAATATTTGGCTATTTCTTTCCTATGGTCTGCATAAAATGAATTGTTTTGTCATGAAGAATCTGAAGTATTTTTAAGTGATCTTGCAAGTTGATAATTATGCTGAGTGAAATACATGCTGATGCATAAATAAGAAAACTCGATTTCATAACTGATATGAAATTAATCTGTTATTTAAATTAAGAATTTATTAAATAATGTATTTTTTTAAATTCCTCACATCATTGATGATACACAATAAGTCATTATGTGCTGTTGTTGGAAATTTGTTGAGGAGCCAAGGGTGCAAAATCCACAGACATGGTTGGTTGTGGGACTCAAGGCTGTCCATACACTTTCTAGGTTATCCAGACCTCTTAAATAATTCGAGTTAATTTGATGAAGACTTTGAAAAGGGCCTGTTAAGTACAGAATGTCAAGAAAGAGAGTCCTCAGATCAAGCTGGAGCAAATGATTTTATGAAAGGCAAATCTGAAACTGCTTTTTGATTTAGCCCATAAAGTTGGTAGTGCCCCCAAATGCTATTCATATGGAGAAGAAATGGTGTGGAACGAACTAGGTTACAAGTCTGAACATTTACTGAACTTCAGGAATTTTTCTTGATGTTAGGATGAGACAGAATCCTTTTGTGGAGTTCTTTAATATTTGGAAGCATTGACTTATCAAGGTAACACTTTTTTTTTTTCCTTTTTCTTTAGGCATTACCTGAGACACAAATTTCCAGCTATGCAGCTACATTGCACCGAAAAAAAACACTGGTACCAGCTCTTTATAAGGTCATTCAAGACCCAAATAATGAGGTAGCAGACTTTAAAAAATATTTTTGTTCACATTCTTATATTTTCCACCTCTACAACTAAAACTAGAGTAATTGAGAAGTGAAGATGGAGAGGAAGATTCTTCAATTCTTTCTAATGTTGTCTAACATGGGTATCATCCCTCTTTTTACACTCTTGTTTTTTGATGGTTACTTTAATGCCTTTCTGGAAAGACACAACCTCATCTGCTCCCAAAAATACAGTTTATGCTGTCTGCTAGATTTTACTTGCCATAGCCTACTGTTACACTTGAATTTGGCATGAGGGTTTCCTCCCAGCGTCCCCCCAACACCACTTGCCATTCCTAACAGAGACAAAGAAGGCCTTACAGTGAAACTCACTAAGACCAATGTGCTTCTCACCTGGTGGCTTATTAGTGGAAGATGGAATCAATTTGTTAAATCTTATTAAAATAACCACATCTTCTTTTGCTTATAGTAGTATCATGTTTCTGTAAGTTGGTTTACACTGCTGTAAACAAGAGCAGAACCAGGGCCCCCAAATATAAATACACACAATGAAAACTTAGCTTACCCTTGTACATAATTCATTTTACAAATGGCATTAAACTGAGCTTTCTTTTCCATTGGCTTCTGCTACGAGCATTTCTGGGAAAGTGTGTGAAATACAACTTCTCAATAAATTGTGCAAGCATACCATTCTCTGCTGTGTAAACTACTTCAGATAAAATGCTTCAAAATATTTGACTTATCATCTGCCGTCTCTTGTATATTTATAAATTGAATGGCAAGTGTACACAGCACGGAAGTTCTTTATTTTCCTAAGCACAGCTCAGCTGCTTTCGGAAGCTGAATGCTTGATTGAGCTTAAAGGAGATTGCATAATGCTCATGCAATAAAAAAAAAAAAAGCTTCATAGCTGTCAGCTTCATTTCAGTGTTACAAATAACTTGCACAGTGACCTTGTTCTTTGTGCTGAAGCTACCGTTACTCTCTTTCCAACCTGAAGCCACCATTGCCGTTGTCCTTTAGTATATATGTATGTGTGTGTATATGTCTGGAAATGTAAAAGCTTTCCTTTGCTTTGAGAATAAGCATTTGATTGATTTATTTATTTTAATGATGCAAAGAACCAGATTTGCAAAAAGAGTATCTTCTTAAGGGTGTGACGGTAATCTTACATTATTGCACACTGATGCTTGTCAAATACTACTCTTTGGAACTTCTGTTGCTGTTTGGGCCTGATGCTGATACCAGGTATAAGATAAGCAAACCCAGACTCAGATGACTAACTTCAGGTTCTGCTTGTTAAGGCAGTATGTATTTCCTTGTTGCACTTCTTCCAAACTTATTTGTATATCAGGAGTATAACCATAGTCAATTCATTATTTTACATATAATTCTGTGGCAATACTTGGCTCTAATCGAGGGTGGTTTTTTTTTAAATATGCTTTATAGGGCATTATTTGTTAGAATGATAACTGATTGCTTATGAAGATACAGCTTATGTGGTAGACTATTATAAAAATGTACTTGCTAGATTCTTAAATTTGACGTACAACTAATTTCTTTAGTGCAACTTAATTGTGAGGTTGACCTATTTTTAAAACGTCCTGAAAGGGGCAAACTGTTTAAGGCAAAAATGAATTTTTCTGGAATCACGTAATTCTATCTTGGTAAGACCAGCATTATTAATTTAACATGGAGCCAGCATGTTTAGGAACCAAAACAAACACCGAAGGTGTTTCTCTTTCTTGATAACTGTCTACAAATTCGAGAGCTATCAAATGAAGGCAAGCAGACTGTCAAGTTAAATACAATTGTTAGTGTTTACCTTTTAGGAAATTCCCTCACTTTTTTTAATATGGTGAAGGTAATGACTGGAACAGGAAGTTCCATAAAGAGTAGAGAGTGATCTTGCTCATAACAGCTTATTTAACTGAATAATATATTGATTTTTCCATAATATTTGAATTCTAAAGTAAAGTGCTTTTGAAGTACTGGTTTTTTAGATAGTTTTATATTTTTGGAGTTGGTTTATGGTTTTAGTCATGACTGCTCTCTGGATTTTAAATTAATGCAGTACTGAAATTTAAACATTGAATATTCATGTGGGGCTATTTAGGTTTAACTTGGAAAACTCAGCATTGAAACAAAATGAGATCACCTTTACAATGCCAAGCACTTCCCAGACCCAGTACTTGTCAAATAATAACTAATTTCACCCATTATGTTGTAGTAAAGACTAAAATGAGTACATTATTTTTTTACCGTTATTGAATTCTTCAAAAAGGTAAGCATTTCCAATCTTTGTCATGCATTTTATAATACATTATACTTAACTTCAAGGTATGGCTCTCAAGATTTGGCAAACTTGTAAAATAAACCAAAGCTATTTATCAGCTTCCTTAAAACATGACTAGTCTGCACCTCTGCGAGGTGTAAAAATGAAGTCTTCAAATTATATCGTTGTCACTTACTGTGATATTTAAGCCAGTAAAAATTCTGTTTGTGATTGTTTGTTATGTAAATTGCTGTTTATGCTAATAGGAAGGCTCTTTTAATCTAAGTTTTTAGTTTGTCAGAAAAGAGATACGGTTACACAAAACTTTTTACTTTGGATTTTTTGGCTAACTGCTGTGCTACTCAGTGTCCTTTGCCTTGGGACGGAAAGATCTCAGGAATTGAAAAAGTGTGTACCGGTTCATGTATACACCCAGCACTGGTGACAAAAGCTCCATTTCCTCTGTTTATCCACTGTCTTCTCAATATTTATATTCAGAGAAATAATTGGAAGAGGCTGGTTCTCTGAAAAGCCACATAACTAGGATGCAAGGAAAACATTTGTTCTTTCTTGCAGTGTCAAGTTTTGTGTTTCCAGGTGGGAGACGATGACGCTGTACTTTGATAGGAAAAACTTAACTGTTCATGCCTTTGAAAATATTTATGCTGTAGCATCTTTGCGATGGCAGCTTTTTTTTGTGGACACTGGACACACCAAAAGCACTATATTAGTTGCTACAAACAACTTTCAGGTTTTCAGCTAAGTAATTTGCAGTTGTTAAACCTTTTGCACAAGTAATGTGACAACTTCTAGAAATGAGGAGTATTTACATGCTTGGCAGCACCAATGACTGGATATTGCTTGTATCTTTCTAGGGAGCATGGTTTCACTTAGACTAATTTTATAAAATTTTAATTTGAAAAAAATAGAATAAACTCAGTAACTGCTCTGGTTGAATCTCATCTGACTTTAGCTAAAGTAAAGTATTCTTTTCCACTGTTTTTAATGGGACTTGGATTAGACTGGCTAATTTCAAGTGGGAAACAGCTTTGGGCTGCTATGATCTCTAATCTAATAGAAGTAGTATTTATAGCAATGCTGCTGTATACATCTGGTTTCTGATAATGTTTGTTTAGCTTTTCTTGCACCTGTTATCTCCTTGCAGATGTGCTTGTATTAGTTGTTTCCAGAGATTTCTTCTTTATGCTAGCTTCTTGCTTATAATTCCTTTTAAAGAAAACCTACAAATTTATTCGGTCATCTCTGAATTATTTATTAACCACATTTTTGCTTGAACATCTGAAATGTGCTAGGTCTTTCATAAAAGAAGGATGCAGTTCTGTTCCTGAGGATTTGAACGTTTACTGTAACAGATGTTTTTAATAGTTTGTGTCACTTTTAGGTAGGAGTTTCTACTAAGTAAATTTTAATTAAGAAAGAATGTACTTAAGCATCTTTTGAACATAAAGTGCTATATATGTATGAAATACTGGAATAAATATACTAGATAAAATAATACATGCTCAACTTGATAGAGAAAGCCCTAGCATCGTTTTATTAAAATGATTGCAATAGAAGCTTTACCGGCTTCTAATTTAATTTAGATCCTAAAACAGAACTTAAGTGGTGAAGTATTTTACAAATATGGCTTGTAAAAATCTGTGTGCTCCAAATTACTGGACTTCTCTCATTCTGTATCAATGTTGTCGGTGTCAGCTTTCTGCCCTCCCTCTCTTGTGGAGTCTCTCTTGCTTCTGTTGTGAAAACAGGCTTTTAGCTTAGAGTAACTAGGCTGTTAATCAGAAGCGTTGTTACACAAGGTACTTATACCCGAGCCTTGTATAAGAAGAGATTTGTCTGATAGCAAAGTTTTGTTTTACATAGATGTCAAGTTATGGCTTATATGATCAGTGGTTTAAAAAAGGTATGCTTCCTTGACCAGAATACAGTGCGTTAGAAATGAAATTAATGTGTTCACCCTTTCTTGGGTGATACTTTAAGGCAGCTATCTTGATAGAAAATTCTGTCAAATTTATGTTTTGTGTTTGTGATATGCTAGAGTAAAATATCTAAGTCTAAATACGTGTATGGGAAGTTGGACAGTCATACAGATTTACGGCATTGCACATTTGTCAAACATTCAAATTACTCATTTGTAGAAATGTCTGTCTCTCTGCTGATAGCAAGGGACTTCTTCACAGTGTTTTTAGAGGATGGATGGTTCACAACAAACCACAGAAGTACATCTTCATACAGCATAGCAAAAGAGTGATAGTGAATTCTACAAGAAATTCTGGGTACTAAGATTTTGATGAATTGACAAATAAATGAAACAAGAGTGCATCAAAGTCTATGAAACATACTGCTAATGCGCTGAAAGTCCTGAGCTGCATATACCTGGGAGTTAGCGTGTGTACTGAAAGAGGAGTAATATATGCCTTATCTGATCTTATTCTCTGCACTGGGTGTTTCCTATTTATGCCTTTTTGTCTCCCCAGTACAGCTGCTCTTGTGTTTGTCAAATGTAGGGGTTTTATTGCTCTAAAAAATGATATGTATAATTTAATGTTTAATGTTATTGTGTATGTATATGAGAGCTGCACAAAATATGTTTGGTTAGAAAGAAGACTTATTTGAGATTCTGGCATCTACTTTCTCACTCTTTAACTCTTCCATACGAATATAGACGCTTTAGGTTACATGGATACCTCCGTCTTTTTGGACATTGAATCCCATTAATATTTTCCTTAGGTCAGATCATCCAATTTCTTAGAATGTAATACTAGATACCGATCACAGACCTTATCAAAATTCCTCTTGGAATCTTTTTTTTTTGGTAGTTTTTGACTGGTATTTAAAAACTTGATTAGTCATGGGAAGGGTGGAGACAGTTTGACATGGTTCTTCCCCCCCTCCCCCCCCGTTCATTAACAATTCTGTGGGTGCATCTTAACTATTGGTTTGGCATTGTAGACTCTTAAATGGCAGGATTTTTCTCGTGCTTGTATCACACTGACTAGATAAGAGCCTTTTTTGGTTCTTGTACTGAAACCTGAAGGGCAGCTCAAGATGGAAAAATCAGTTGGCATTGTAGTGAACAAATGCATGCTTGTTGGGTTTGAGACTAAAAAGCTGTAGGTAAGAAATTAATTCATATTTCTGTCAATAGACTTGTCATTAGCAGCTAATCTTTAACCTTTGTACTTTTATAAACCTTACAACTCCACCATTAAAGTTTTATGGTGCACATAGTTCAGGCCACGTGTCTATCAGATACCTTAAATTAGTATCTGTACACAAAATAAATCTCATACTGACAACCCTAGATGTTCTCAAAACACAAGATGGTAGTGGCTGTAATAGGGCCTGATTTCCCAATACTGCATACCAGTGCCCCTCAGCCCTGTCCTTATAGATTTCCTTAAAAGGAATGCAGATATAATTTTGGTTCATTCACTTACCATCAAGGAATGTAATTTTTACTGGCTGCAGTGGCTATATGATATAGCCCCTATATTTGCTATTTCATTATCACTTATTAGAGAAGCCTAACAGTAATTCATTAGCCTTTTTGACTTTCCACAGCTCCTGGAGCCTGTTTGCCACCAGCTCTTTGAACTTTATCGTAGTTCTGAAGTTCGACTCAAGAGATTCACACTGCAATTTTTGCCAGAGTTGATCTGGGTATATCTGCGTCTTACTGCCAGCAGGGACAGGCAGAGTAATGGTTGCATTGAAGCATTGCTGCTTGGCATTTACAACTTGGTAAGTGAGATGAGTGGGAATGGCTGAGGAAAGCTTTGATCTGAGGTTTTGCGTCACTGACCGCTAGGAATAAAGTAAATTACTGGAACAATGTATTTAAAATTATAATACGCTTACATGAAAGCATACTTAATCTGGAGAAAAGGATAATGTAATGAAGGTTTAGTAAGAACGTGTTTGCAAAAATATTTTTCTAGTAATCCTTTGGGGACAAACTTTTTAACTAAAAAGGATCATCTTATGGGATTTCTTGAGCTGTTACATACAGGTGTTTGTAAGGAAATTAAGTAGCCCTCCTTAATGTTGAAAAATACAGCTTTCTATGGAGATGACTGTCAGGCCAATATGCTGGGTCAAACTTCATGATTCACTCCCCCCGCCCCCGCTTGCTCTGAATATGTCTTTTTAAGGGTAATTGGAAGCTGAAACCACTCTGCATGATAGCACTTAGATACGTGCATGTGTACATTTGAGGCAGATAGTTGTCTTGAGTAGAGCTGTGATTTTAAGAATAAGTAGAAGTAACTGTAGATGAATAAGTTTGGCCGTTGGATGTAAAAGTAGTTTTTTAGATCCTTACCTTAGCCTGGAAATGTTTACTTTTGTAATGTTATGAGGCTGTTTAGCATAACCACCAAGATAGGCATTCTCTAATGGGAATGTCTGTGTTACAGGACTTTAAAACATATTATACTGAAACATTGCCCTTCTCTACTAGCACAGTAAAGCCCTCTTTTAAATTGTGTATTATGTTTCTACACATGATGAGACACAGAACAGTCAAACTGTGGTTCTTAAAAGAAAAAAAAAAGTCTTATTATGTGTCTGTAGATCAGCTCTGTCAACTGGAAGATCCAGTTATTTTAGATTTATTCTGATAGAAAAAAACATTGGAAACTCCTTGCTGATTTTTTGGTAGTGTTTGCTGGGTTGAAATAGCATGTGTATCTTTGTCAACTGTTTTTTCATAAAGGTCCTTTTGCAGTTCCTTTGAGAGTCATGATGACGATTCATATTTTTTAAGGACACTTATTTCTTCATTCTCTCCAAATTCAGGATGAAAGAGGCCTCAAAATGGACAGTGGTTCCCACTAGGGTTTTTTTCTGTGTTTTAAGTTGTTGATATGTTTCTGCACATATACTGAGACTGAAGGAGTGAAGTTATTTTCTCAATACTTTGAAAGTGAAAGACAAGGATAAATCTTTTGCATTCTGCTAAATTCTGTCAACTGCCCTCCCTCCTTAAAGCCTACTGCAACTACTGTGCTACCTTGTACTAAGTTTTCACATAAACTAGAATGACTAGAGCTCATTGTTTGGAAATTTGCTGTACAAAGTGAAAAGGGAGGATTTTAGACTCCCTTTTTGGAATAGTCTTATGTAATTGCTCTTAGTATATTTGCTTTAAGAACTGCTGGGTTTGCTTATGTAGTAGCCTAGCAACTGTAAAATCTGACCAGTTTGAAAGCCTTTTGAGAAGACATTCTGTGTATTTCTTCCCGATAGAATGCCTAAAGAAACCTTGCCAGTCCCCTTGATTTCACCTTTTCTCTGTGGTGCATTTATTATGAAGTACTGCCTGTTGTCAGCAAGTGACTCATCAGCCTTCATGTGTCTATATCTTTTGGGCTTAAAGTTTAGCCTTGCTCCACTATGCAAATCCATTATAAATAAATGTTACAATGTAAAGGTGGGCTAGAAAAGCCTTTTGTTCTTTGTTTTTGATGAAGTCACACTGATCAAGAACCAAATACTGGGCTTTTTAAGTGTTGCAGACTGATTCTGCTAAACAGTCTGTGGTAGAGGTATTTCCCACTTTTTAAATACGTATGTAAATTTGCTGAAATTCTGAAAATGCCCTATCTCCTTACCTGTGTTTGGGTTTTTCATTTTGTTTGTTTAATGCAGGAAATTGCTGACAAAGATGGAAACAACAAAGTTTTATCTTTCACCATCCCCTCATTATCTAAACCCTCAATATATCATGAGGTAAGAGAGCTGCTGTGGTAAATTAGAATTGGATCTATTAGAGGAATGAAAGCTGGATCCATTTGATGCAACAGGCCATTTTAGGTGCATCTTGTTGCAGTAAGTTTTCAATGTCAGTAGCTTGCAATTAGCATAATTGAATTCAATCGCATTAGTAGAAGAAAAGGAATGTAAATGTCGAAAAATCTTTGCTGACAGTGACCATTTTGCATGGAGGTTAGTTGTATTATAGTTGCAACTGTGTTTTCCTGCCTCTTACGTGTTAGTATAAAAGTAGTCTTCCTTCTTATAACTCCTACTTAATGCAGTTTGAACTTGGAATTGTGCTTTTCTTTCTCTACTGTTGCTGTACAAAAGGTCTATGCAATTAGGACAAACTTACTATAAAAGGATATGTAAGAATCAAAGTTGAAAATTGCTCTCATCTGCTCTATTGTCTGTAAGTGTGGAAGCTGTTTATAATAATGAAATCGGAAACATTTTTAGATTTACTGTATTCTAGAATAATCTTAATTTTCACAGATCACAAGTCAAGTGTGTCTTGGCTTGGGTGGTTAGGAGTTTTAATACTTTTGGGGACCTTTTACTTATGGCTTGATTTCTTCCCCCTCCTTCCTTCCTCCTCCTGCCACCTACTTCTAGCCCTCTACTATTGGATCCATGGCTTTAACTGAAGGAGCTCTATGTCAGCATGATCTCATCAGGGTAGTTTACAGTGATCTTCATCCTCAAAGAGAAACCTTCACAGCACAGAACCGGTAGGTGGATGTATTCTAATATCAGAGGTGCTTCACTAGGCAGACAACAAGTCCTTAAACATTACAACCAAATATATTATGTGTTCAGTCCTTTCTCAACATTAAGTGCTTGGAAATAAATCTAGAGAACAGTCTTGGTAATCTTGAGGTATAGTATTTTTGTCATTTGATCCAACTTTGTATGTTCTTCTACTAGTTAATTTTGAAGACAGTAACTTCTCTGTCATTTCTTTGTCCACCAGGAATATCTTTGGGTTTATGTCTGTCAACTCAAATTTTCTTGGAAGTGTAACAAAATTCAGCTTTGGCTCTGAGGCTGTGACTGCTTTTTCCACAGGAAAAGAGCAATGGACCTGAGTGGATAGACAGAACTAGGCACGAGGGAGATTGCCCTGCTGTTATAGTGACTGCCAGCTTTACCTGTGTCTAAAGCCAGCTCTGGGAAAAATGATCAAATAATTTTGAATGCATTGCAGACTTGTGCTGTTCTAGAATTTTGTTCAAATATTATGCCATATGCCATTTTCTCCATAGTTCCTGCATACGCTAATGGTTTTCAGTAACAATAATTTTAAGTGTTTAATACTGAACCTTCAGTAGCCTGTTTCAAGTTAGTGAATTATAATGAAAGAGGATTTCAGGATTTGTGTGTTTACTTCTGACGCTTTTTTCTGTGGGGGATTTTATAAGACTGAGTTGTAGAATTCTTGTGTTAAATTCTGATGAAATATTAAGACTTTAAACTATGCAAGGTTTTGCTCTTGTCTCATTTCAGGTTTGAGGTGCTGAGCTTTCTTATGCTGTGCTACAATTCTGCTATTGTCTATATGCCTGCCTCTTCTTACCAATCACTTTGTAGGATGGGTTCCAGGTGAGACATTTGCCTTTGAAGTAGTCTTTCAGGGTGCATCTAGACGTACAAATATTCATTCAGCAAAAGGAGACTGAATTTACTTGTTGTGTTTAGTAACTTAAAATATGTAACTCTTGGTCAGTCCTGCAACTTAATTGGAAATTTGAAGCTGTGCTTGCATACAGATAAAACACATGGATTATCTTACTACTGCATGATCTTTCACAGAATCACAGAATGGTTCCAGTTACGTAACTTGCTGTTACTGGAAAGAAAAAAAAAGAAAGCTATTTTGGAGGAAAATTAGTTGAAGCTACTCAGACCGATGTGCATTTTTTTTAATTACATATCTCTCAGACATTTTCCAGTATAGTCAGCTTAAAAATCCTGTAAGGAATACAACCAGTTTCCTCTACTTCCAAATATTAATGTCTTGCTTCTGAGGATGGTTTACAACAAGTGTTTGCACACTGTTCTGGGTTTTAGTGGTTTGTTTGTGTTTTTCTTTGGTTTGTTTTTCGGTGTGTCCCCCCTTTGTTTTTTTTCCCCCTGATAATAACATCCCATTTTCTGGAGAATTCACTGCTGTGATTTCTCAAAATCTTATACATGCCCTTTATATAACCTTCTACTTGAATAGTCTAAGAAGCATCTGGTTGGCAAAGATCCCTGCGTTTTGTTCTGAAAAGTCTTAAGTATATGTGATATTCCCATATGCCTGTTTTTACCAGCATTTTTGTCTCAAAAGAGATAAACTCTCTCTCCTGATACCCCCAAACAGAGGAACCTCTTTAAATGTTTTTTGATTTAGCTTGTTTGCTTCAGCCCAATACTGCTGTTAAAGAAAAGTATTATATTCAAATCAGTTATGTAGAGAAGAAGGATCAGACTAGCTTCCAACAGCATATATTCTGTAGCAACACACACATGCAGTAAAGATTATAGCTTGTTTCTTTACTGTGATTTCTGATGGGAATGGGTTAATTCTTGTTACGCTTCTATCATCTTCACTTGAGATGTCGCTGTGCTAAATTTGCCAAATATGTTGGATTTTCCTGCATTTGAAAATTAGATCTGTTCTTTGGGTAGAGAAGAGACAACATTTTATGGGTTGGGGATTTTTTTGTTGTTTTTGACACAGTGCAGCAGTTATTATGTATTAGTGGCAATGTGTTGCTGCCATGATGACGATTCAGATAATAAAGTTATGAATAAATTATTCTGTTTTTTATGGAAACTCAATGTGATGCAGTATATGAGAAGGCAGGCCTTTTTTCAAGGGTCAGAAGTGTTTTTTTAGAAGGTAGCTGAGAGCAGTTCTTAAGAATATGGTATCTGTGTTATCCAACTTTAGGTAAAAGGTGATTGCATGCTGTCATCATAGATTAGGTAGGAGATGACATATTTCTCTTCTGTACCACTGAAATGTTTCCTTTGAAGAAGGTTGGTCAGTCACTGAATTTTGGAGAGAGTCTCCTACTTGGTGGCTGGCAGTAGAGAACATCTTGCCACCCTTGTTCTTTAGAAGCTGATCATATTTTGAAAAGAACAGATGGAGTTAATGGCTATATGAGAATAATACTGGATTATCAGCAACCCACATCTCAAGGCACTGTTACAAAAATGCTTTAATGGTTGGGAGAGCAACATAAGAACATTCTATGTTGCGTACTTACATTTGGAAAAATAAATTTTTAAAATAAACTAAAATCTTTGTGATGTAAAGACATTTGTAGTCTTTGTGGGGTTAACATTTTGTTACAATGGTGTGTTTTTTCAGGCTGTGTGTGAGTGGATTTCCACGGCAGCATGAGAAACGCTGGAAAGAACACTGTGGTAGAGTGGTGTTAGACCCTGACTTCATGGTGCAGCTGCTCACAGGTGTCTATTACGCCATGTAAGTGGATGGGTTTTTTGTGTAAAGAGAAGTTTCTGGTTTTACATGAATTTAAAATATAAATGCTAGTTGTTTTATGATTGAAAAAATAGTTAAACTTATAACTCAATTAGTGCATTTACCGTTACTTGGTTGCTCAGCCATAATAATTTGAAAATATCTTTGTCAGCATTGAATTTGATGAAGGGCGAGAAGAAGTGCTGGAGAGAGTTAGGCTTCTGGCTTCATCTTTTCCCAAGTTTCCACTACCAGCAGATACCTTCTGTTCACAAGCATGATGAGCTTGGATGCCAAGATAACCTGATAAAATGCAGAGCTCTAGAATGTCAGTAGCTTCTGAAGTAGCAAAAATCCATTTCTGATGGAAATTCAGTTCTGCTAAGTAGTGTTAACCTTTACATCTTGACCCCATTTTTTTTTTCAGTTGTTAAAGTTTGTCCTGATTATGTCATTGACTTTGTCTTTCTTGGAGGTAACAGGGAGCAGGTTTTTTGTTATACCGACAAGATTAATAATAAAATGATTTGTCTATAATTTTAAAAGTGCAGGGTCTGAGGTGTACATACAGTTGATGAACTTTCTACATAAGCAAAGAAGTGAAGAGATGGATTTGGGCAGAAAAAAGACGAGATTGAGTTTGTAAGATGTGAAAGATAAATATCTTTCTTTACTTTTTAGATATAATGGTCAGTGGGATCTTGGCCAGGAGGTATTGGAGGACATAATTTACAGAGCACAGCTAGAACTCTACTCACAGCCTCTGCTGGTAAGAAACAATCCATTGCAATTTACAGACTTGGTTAAGAGGAGTATGGATGTGTTTCTGAAGTGGACTGGTAATGAAAGGATTTTTGGCTATTTGCTGCACTCTCAAATGCAAGTGGTTGTTAACAGCTGGTGTTTTCAATGTAGCTATTTATACCATGCTTTTTCTGCTTGAATATTAAGCTAGGGTGTTGGGGTCTCCTAGGACTCATTGATGCTGAAAGCTAGGATTTTCTGATGTATTACAGTTGGATCAAAATGTTTATGTTGTTTTGGCATAAGCTACCAATGAGTGATTCAAAGAAGCTTAACCGAATGGTTATATGTCATTAGACATTGTTTGCAAAAAAAAGTGTTTTCTTTGCTTCCGGATCTTCATCAGGGCTTAGAATATGCTGTGTGTTTAAACTGATGACAGAGTAGAAAAATCAACAATAGGATAGAGCTGACAGTGAAAAGGAGCTTCATCTCCAGAGTTAGTGTCAGATTTTGATTGATCAAAGTCACTCTGGTCTTAATCTTTACCTTCTTTAGAGAAGCAGCAATAGAATGAAGTTCTGATTGCTTGGCTTTTTCAATTTCCAGTATACTTGCTGTTCTGATCATAAGAAGAGAGAAACGAAATGGGGAAAGAGGTGAAACTGGGCTGGATGCAGGTGGATGTTATTGGGGAGGATGAGGAGGCTGACAGAGAGAAAGGAGTAATGGAAGGATTTTATTTTTTTGTCAAATATAGGAATGAGGATCAAGGTGAGAGGGAAAATTAAGGAGAATAAAGTAAATAGACTGTTGTCTCAGTTTCTGCATCAGAATTATGCCTAGGAGCCTTTAGTGCTTCTCTGAACTAACAGCAGTAAAATTTAACTGCTTTTTAGATAACTGAGAAAGGAGTGGATTGGGAAAAATCTTTTTATGTGGCAGTCTGAGATCCCTTGCTTCTGAATTACGTAAAATTATTCTCTTGATAAATTAATATTGGCTGTAAAATTTATCTACAGGCTTGCTGACACTGCTGCATTTTAAATGCTTGGTATCCATTGAATTATTATAATAGTTGGTTCCTTTTGGAAATGACTCATTGCTCCATCAGATTGAAAGTTTTAAATTAAATATTGAACCTGCTGAATTGGGCCACCCTATCAAACTACTACATTTAAAAGGTGTGTAGGAGGATCTGGAACTTAATTCAATTGATGATATGACAATTTTCAGTCCTGATTGTTCATTTTTAATCAGTTTGGCCTTAGAGCCTTCTTCTAATTAGAAGAATCTTCTAGAATGTCTTTGTTTTTTTCCAAAGCTACTTCTTGCCTCTCCACCCCATTGTCTGGTGTCAGTGACATTATGACATCACCAATTTTTCACCCTTCCCCAGTTGTCAGGTTTTTCGCACATACGCATGCAGGCACATCTGTGGGGTTTTCCTCTTAATACTCTGATCATTGCCTTGTTTCCTATCTTATTTTACTGCATTTTTTTAAAAAGCAGCTGTAAGAAATGGTCAGTTTTGTAAAAAGATGACCTGCATGTCCTTGACCTCATGCTATATACATTCAAGCAATTTGACTTTCTCAAAGGTTGGAGTGCTTTCACCTTGTTGCATTCTCCAGGAGATGTGTGTAATTTAGCAGCATTATAAAATTTTGTGTTTTAAACTTAAAACTACTGGCAACAAGTAAAATACCATCTGTGCAGCATCCCAGATAAGTTTCAAGTTCAGCCTCTGCTAGGATTTCCTAACAGCAGCAAATTCTTTGAAGTCCGTTTAATATTCAGGCAAACCCCCACATAAGGATTATTTTTAGATACCTGTACTCAAGCTATTTGAATAATTATGGGAATACTGTCAGTCATCATTACAATGAGAAACATCACAGTCCCCATGTTTTGTTTTCTCTTGGAGAAATAATTTTGACAATATAGTAGATCCATGGTCTTATTTAAATAGGTTTATATTGCCTGTGGACTTAAAAAAAAAAAAAACACACCACAAACAAAACCAAAACCACAACAAAACCCAAACCCTAAACTAAAAAGAACACCACCAAACCAAAAAATCCCTGCTGAAATAGCAATATCGGAAAGCTATGAAATATCTGTAATGTAGAAGCAGTCTTTTTTCACTGTTGCCCAGAAACTCCACCGGAAAGGGCAAGAAGTAATGTAACGGAAAGGCTTTTTCTGGGAAAAGTATCTCTGTTAACAAACACTCTGGGTATTGGTCTCATAGTCGTGAAAACTGGGAGTTTCTACAGAGAGGAAACAAATCTCCAAGACTCAGTATTACTGCCAGGATCCCCTGGACCTGGGGAGTAGCTCAGATCCAGTCAGTCAGTCTCCTCTGAACACAAGAGTTCTGTGCGTGTTTCAGATGGAAATCCCTGTCTTCAGTGCAGAGCTGCACAGGCTTTCTTAGCCTGGTACACAAGAAGCCTGATCAGCAAGTCCCTATTGTGACAGCACCTTTATCCAGTGGATTTTATTGATGCACTTAACTGTTTTTGTTGGATGCTCTTTTCGTTAGAGCTCCTTTCTGGTAGGCAAGGGTGGATGGCTGGCCTGAAACCAGCCCTCCTTTGTCATCGACAGTTGCAGACTTGGCTAGCCAAGTCTGAATTGTGCCGTTTGTTTTTTTCCCTTCCTTTCGATGCTAGATTAGACATAGTGAGCAAGGTTTTTTCCATCCAAAGGATCGCAAGTTTGTTTTTTTCTGTCAGGGAAGGGCTGTGACTCATTCAAACGGATTGTTTTGATTGTTTCAAAGTTTTGCTGTTGCATTGATTTTTACCTCCATACGGTTCTCCTCAGTCCCCAGAAGTACAATTTGTGCTGTTAGAAAGGGCCAGCTGTTAAAAGGTTCAACAAGCAGAAGTGCTCTGTCACTTTTCTGGTCCTGTTGCAGAAACTTTCTGGTACTAATTTTTAGATTTTAGTCCTGTATACTGAGAAGGGTACCTATTCAAAAGAGGGCGCAACTCTAGTACTAGAGTAGAACATAGGAAGACAAACCATTGTATACTGTTGAACTTGATTTGGTTCAGTACAGCAGAAATCAGTTTCTGAAGTCTTTAATGTGATCAAGGATTGGGTGAATGCATTTCGAGAGGATGCCATGAAAAAAGGCCTATGTGTGAATAGGAAAGCAGTTAACAAACAAATGTTGAGGCTGAGAGAATTGACTAGCAAAGGGCAAATAAATTTTGGACAAGTGGAAGGCAGAATGACAAGGAGCATTTCTGTGATGGTGCCAATAATCTTTAGTGCTGGTTAGAAGCCAGACAGGAAGGCAGTGGAGAAGATGTTTAATGGGGAGTTACAGGATCACAACAGCACCTGGATCAGGATCAGCTATATGGCAGCCATTCCAGCCCCCCAGGAAGTGAAACGTCCATGATTTAGTTAATATCCTGTAAGCCGTGGCTTTACTGTTCAAAGCTGTTTCATTTCTTCTCGTGGTTGCTGGATGGTTTGCACGATATAACTTGTAGGAAAGTCACTTTTACTTTATAATAATGCAAATAAACACTTTGAATTCATGGAGCTTTTATGGCATGCCACATGCATTGATACTACCTTTTTATCAAATGTTATCTGAGATCTTCACAAGACAAATAATACAAAGTTCTGGCAATAGAATATTCCAGTGGTTTAGTAAATTTCTCGTAGTTTGTGTTTTTGCGAATGCTAAGGAATGATTGCTTAAACAGATGTGGTATATGTGGGCTTTGGGAGTTCAAGGGATTTGTTCGATGTCCCTTACATTTCCAAGGCCTCTGGCAACCTAAAAATACCAAGACAACATTGATGTGGTTTACAAGTGCATTAGTTCTGTCACTAGGTTGAAGGAAACATGAAAAAGTTGCTACAGCATAAAACTAAGAAATGCTTGATTGTAATAATGTGCTAAATAGTCGATACTACTCCATCAGCTAGCCACAAGTCTTTATACAGTAAAGAAAATGCCTGTTCTTAGAAAAAGAACATTATCTAAAAGGAAGTAAAATGTATGTATGCATAGTCAGAAAAATGGAGTGTCTTGCCAAGGTGCATATTCTAAAGCTGATCTGTGTTTTGAGTGGACAGAACAGTCAACCTTATAGTTTTTTGTGTCTTAAAATAAGGTTTACATCCCTTTGTCTTGAGCTAACAAATAGACTTGCATGTATTTAAGACATGCAGACCACATGTATTTCAGTGTGTTTCTCTTGCTGTATAGTGAACTCTTCTCTCCATTTTCAAAATTAATTTTTTTTTTGTGATGCAAGAGAAAATCCATTAGGAGACAACATAAAGTTGCTTTTCATAATGCTTCTTGTAAACTATAATGGAGAGAATAGCCTGCCCAAATTATGGTGGTAACGGTTGCTAGGTAGGATTTTACAGAGATTAGTAAGTTATATTTTCCGTAGTTGTATTATTTTAAGTATAGATGTCTCTGACGCTCTTTTTTATCTACTGTCTTAATTAGAGGGGGAGTAAAGAGCATGTAGGAAGTCAGATGTCTGTGAAACGTAAGGGATCTATGAATGAAGTTGTGATGTTAAGTTTAAAATATGTCTAATATTTTTGTTGCTGGTTGGTTATATTAAGTCAGTAAGATTTTTGAAAATTAATGTGTTCACTTTGTTTTGGTTTTTTTAAAAGTTTTAAATCACATTTTGTGTGCAGCAATTTTGTTATTGTTGAATATTGTACATGCCATAGAGACCCAGCTTGCTTTTCAAGAGCTGGTACACAAGTTCACTTTTTCAAGAATTTACTTGGAAACTAGGAAACATTCATGGAGGGTTTCTTTTTTATATATATTTTAAGGAAACCTCTAATCCCACAAAGGCATTTTAGGAAAATGTAAAGAAGCAATTAAAACATTAAAACTGAGAGGTCACTTATTCTCCTTGAAGCTGCAAAACAAAACTCCTGACTTTATAATAGGCTATTATAATAAAAAAATAGATCTAATAAAGATGAATGCATTTTAATGATTTGATGGTCATTGCTTAGGTTGCAGGTTTTTTTAAACTCTTGCAAGTACTTCATGTACTTGCAGTCTAATCCCCTTGGTTAGTTTTTGGGGGGGAGGGGCCGAGGGGGGTAGAATAAGGCAGGGTGGGGTAGAAACTGGCCCTGTCTCCCCGCCACTCAAGGCCATATGCTGTTTGCATTGAATTGGCCTGTGACTTAATTTTATGACATTCTTGTCATAAAACATAAATGGTATTTTCCTTGTCATTTTGCGGTCCTTTCTGATTGGAGACCTTCCTGTGTAGATTGTTACCTCTGTCAGTACAGGTGGCAAATATGGAACGAAATAAATTACCTCAAAAAAATGGAGAAAATTCAGCTATATTTTTGGGAATAGGTTTATGATGGGCTTTTCAACATAGTTATCAACTGTGAATCTTGGGGATGGCGCCATTCATCTGGATGGGATCTGGCATAATTAACAATTCTTGGTTGTTTCCCTTTCTGTTTCCAGCAAGAGATCTAATATTGCTATCAGTGCAGTCAAGGACAGTAGTAGTACAGTATTTTACTTTTATCTTAGGTTGCAAATGCCATGAAGAACTCGCTGCCCTTTGATGCTCCTGATGCTTCACAAGAAGGCCAGAAGGTACTAAAAGTAGAAGTTACTCCGACAGTGCCGAGGATTTCTCGGACTGCTATTACAACAGCTTCTATCCGTCGTCATCGCTGGAGGAGAGAAGGTGAGCTTTCTCTGCTAAGAGCAAATACTGTAGTGTACTGTATTCATCATCATCACTGTAATCTGGCTTCTGAGTTTGAATGGTTGCAGAGCAGTTGGTTGGGGTTTTTTTGTTTGTTTGTTTGGTTTTGAAAAGTGATATTCCATAACAATGTATAGTATTTTACATCTTCAGAGCACTGCATGAACATGAACATTTGAGATGTTTGTTTGGTTTTTGATTTGGTGATAACCCATGAGGTAGGTGAGAAAATGGAGAAGCTGGAAAGCGTTCAATAAGATCTATTTTTCTCTATGTAACACAGCATAAAATTGTAGGGATAGAATTTTGCTTAGAATTTGAGTTCCTTCTTTAATCCACACTAAAACTCAACTGCCTCCCATCACAAATAGCTCAGGGAATGAATGGTATTATCCAGACCTTGATAGGGTTTCAGCTACCTAAAGCTACTGAAGGCTGTGGGAGAGGGAAAATCTCGTTCATATGGCCCAATTTAGAGAGGGGCCGTGTCATACAGTAGCTTTGGATAGCTTAGAATTAGTCCTTAGTTTTCCTCAGTTAGTACTTATGTTATATGGAAGTGTACCTGACTTTATGAAGAAAAAAAATAAATATGTAGTAATATTTACCTTGATACGATGACATCTTCAGTGTAGGTGTAGCAAAAAGCTTGCTTTGAAATCACTTTGTCATACAAGCTTTGTTGCTGCATGTATAAAATAATGATTAAAAAAAGCTGCATAAATGGCTGAAGGTAAAAAGAAGAATAACCTAATAATAAACTGAGAGTAAGAGAGTCTGAAAACAAGGATTACATATTTTCCTGTGGTTTTTTTTTTTTTTTTCCTTTTTTTACTTTCTCTCCCCTGTATCATGTGCAAAAGGATTTGATGACCTCCGGTCTTCAGTTGATTAGGAATGTCCAGGACAAGAAGTAGCTGTCTTCTGTTTTCAGGACTCTGGATCATGTTCGTCTTCGCTGTAGTTGCCATTTATTCATTTGCTAGTCTCTGGTTTACAGTATAGCCCACCTGTCCCTTTCTGTGGATGTTCTCACAACTTTTAACTAAGCATGGGTAGTGTTTCGTGTTTGTTCCATGTCCGCATAAATTTTCTATTTTCCCTGCCTGGGTTGGAATGCCAAGAAAGGAATAGAAAAGCACTAAAATGTTATATGTTGAATCCCAGATGGCTTTGACTTCTCAAACGAGGCTGACTCAAGCATACCTGGCTCACCGATCCAACACGGCTCCACAGACCTAGGGATCAAACGTGAGCAAGAGGGGGAGGTGCTGATGCGCAAGACCCCTGAGCATGGCTTCCCGGAGCCCACCTTGGCAGCAGCCACAACAGAGGGTAGGACAGAGATGAGGAGGCAGAAGTCAGTGAGGCAGTTGCTGGAGGAGGATCCTGGCTCCCTATCCCCAAGCAGAACTTCTTTCCATTCTAGTGTGTGTTTCCGCTATCCCAGGGTGTATTAGCTTCTCTTTGCAATACACGCATCCCCTATATACCTAACATCAGGTCAGGTACTACCTTTTGTTATCACATGGGCTGGCCTGGGGCTTGCATCTGTGTGGTGAAAGACTGCTTGGCATGGCAAAAAAATGGCAAAAAAACCCCAAACCCAGGGGTTATAGCCAAGAGCTTTGGGATTGCTTGGAAACTTTCTATTACTGAGCATGTTTAATCTAATATTCAGAAGGGAAAAATGCACCAGTGGAACATGAATCTAGCCCTGAAAAAGTAGCATTATAGAGTATGAATGGATTTGGCTACAACTTAGTTACAGTAGTGTCTTGTTAGTCTGCAGTTTTTAAATTTCCAAGAATGAAGTTTCCTATTCCCATTCAAAGTCAAGCCTATCTAAGACAGGTATCCAGCTGTTGATGTTTGTATTTGCCACTCATCCTTTAATTGAAAATTCATACACATACAATGTGTTTACATGAATGAGCTGGCTGCTCTAAAGACAAGTACCCAAAAAGTACTTGTGTTTTCAAGAAGAAACCAGGTTGGCATGTTTCTAAAAACTTTAGAAACAATTACTGCTTGCTTGCTTTCTTAGTGATACTGTCCACACAAACGCTGTAGGACTTCGTACGTCTGCTCTGCAGCCAAGAGTAGCAGATAGAGTAGCTGGTAGAAATTTCATTTGCTGAAGTTCATCTATTAATTTTCTCATCTTTACTCCATAAAAGACATGGTTTTGAGTACTGAATTTGAATCATCATTTCTCCTCGGAGATGAGAATTTATTTCTTGTAAATGTAGCTAAATATATTTTTCAAATGTTCTCCTGTCTTAAGTCTTCTTTTCTATATGAACATTCCTTTGGTATTTCCAGTCTCTATGAGCATATCAGTTGATCATAAACGAGATTTATTTGCACATTTGGATATAAGCTACATAGTTTTCAGATTTGTTCTTCTGGAAACAGTAATCTGGAGATTTTGGAGATTTAATGTAGTGTTGTCACAGAATCCTTACCCTTAATCAGAGTTGCTATCAAACAAGAAGTAAGACACCATACTTCTGTAGAAGATAGTTGCATAAAAATGTCAGTGCAGGTTTATAATGTACTCCGTGGTGCATAGTGAATTTGAGCATGCTCAGTAAATGAGTCCTGTCTTCTCCTAAATTCACTTGTTCGGTTGGTCTTACTCCCTTTTACTAAACTTTGCATGTGCATGACCTGAAGGATATGGAGAAGTCCTCAGCTGCAGAGAACCTTCTGGGAGGGACAAGAAGTTGGAAAGAAATTGACAAAGACACGGCCTTCTAGTCTTAATTTGTTTTAAGGCATCTATATAATTTGGCACGTTCTTGGATAAGGCATCTTTTCACATGCTTTACTTCAGTAGAAGTGGGTTGAATACCTTTTACTTCTGTAACGTTAGCAATGTATAATTGCATGCTTGGGTGAACTGAATTCTGCCAGTTGATAGCATCTGGGAGAAGGCCAAGGAATGGAGTCTGGCTTGATTTATCAGTATAGAATCTTGTGTGTGTATACAGTGGTCTATTATTTTACTCGTGCTAATTTCACAAAAAGCTTCAGCTAGCAAATTCCCTCTCATATAATTTTAATATTAAACAATATAATGAGAGACTGATCATTTCTAGTGACTTTTCAACCTTCAGGTATGGAAGGATAAACAGAATAAAAGTCACTTTAAAAAGCTGTATAAAATCCCTTCTTCAGATCAGTGTTTTCACCCAATAAGTAGAAAAAAGCAGATGATTCCAAGAATGACTCAGTAATGCCTTACAAGGTATTCTGCTTCCAGGTGGTAGCAGCTGTGGTTATGTGCACTATTTTGGGTCAGTGGAGAATGCTGTATCTACATATACAGGGTTAATTATGTCCAGGTGTGAATAACAAAGTCTTTGGGGACAGACTTGTTCTGATAAGGAACAGTGAGAGTTCTGAATACACACTGTAGTGCAATTGATACGATTTTTGTCAGGTTGCACTGTCTCTTTCTGTTCTGGCCTTACAGTAGAAGAGTGCTTGGGAGGAGTAGGTTTTTAGTTTTTGTTTTCTCTTTCAATTGTCTTACTGATCTGTTGAGGGGGGAGAAAACTTGATGACTTCATTCTGGTTTTCCCCCCAAACAGAGTATGTAAGGACGCAAATGTTTTTGATTGTTTCTGAGGGCAGTTTTTATAGGAAAAATAACAAGTTTTGGGAAAAGAATGTGTTTGCTGAATTACTTTAATCCCACTGAGAATTTTTGTAGGTATATGGATCTGACTAGACAGAAATTCTCTTGCATGTTGTCTTCTCTATCTTCTTCATTTTTGAGCACTGCTGAGCTGCTTGGGCCTTTGTATTGTTGCAGCATCCAAAAGTTTGCAACAACCCCTCTCAGTCTTTAAATTCTGTGGCTAAAATGCCACTTTTTCAGTGTGACTCTTCTGCTTCACTGTCCCTGAATAGGAATGTCTGTTTTAGTTACATTACTCAGCAATGTTTTAACGTAAACTTTGAAGACAACTAATGTTCTTGTAATAATAAAAAGCTTAGCATTGTGGTCTAGAGATACCTTCTTGCAAGTTATGTATCTTTCATTTGAATAAGAAGGGCTTGAGAGGGGACTTCATCTGCTGCTATTGCTGCTTGTAACCAAACACGCTTTCATCCAGCTTTGCATGATGATATAAAGAAACATAAATATTGATTTATTGAAAAAGTGATCTTGCTTTCAGGATGTTCCAGTTACATCATTTTTATTAGCATCTTTGATTATGTGTGGGAAGGTTGGGGTGGGGGGAAATGGAAATGTGGTGGATTGGGAATAAAATATATTACTGTCTAATGTACGAAAATACACTTACATCTTAATGAGAAGATGAAGGCTTAATTTGACCCAAACAGGGTGGACAGGAGCTGGGGAAAGTGTATGTATTTAAAATATGGTTACAGGAAGTTAAAGGAAGTAACGTGCCCTTCATTTTAATAATAGCCCTTGAATCCTTAGAAAAAGAAGCTTCTTAGGTTAAAGGCTTTACCAAAGAAGGAAGACTGCAGTAACATGAACTATATTACCTTTCTGCTTCTGGGAAGCTAATGAGTCAAACAGAACTATGTAAAACTACAGAATAATCTCACATTGCATTGTTCTGAGAAACGCCTGAGAATGGTCTGATTTGGAGATGGTTAAACATCTTTTGTAAGCTGATACACAGTAATGGAAATTCTAAGAGAAAGTTTTCTGAAAAGAAGAGGCAAGTTTAAAAAAGGATAATAAAACCTCCCTGTAAAGTTGTGGGTTGTTTTTTTTTTTTCTTTACGCTTCAGAAATGTGAAGTTGGATCAGGCTATGTTCCTGCTACACAGAGGCAGCAACAATGCTGAAAGCTTTGTGTCTGTTCTGCTTCCCATAATGTAAAATGTTCCTTAGTGCTCTGCTAACAAGCAGCATGAAAGGATGAGCTTCCACTCAAATGTTAGAATCTCTCAGATCCTTGCCACCAGTTTTTCTCCATTCCACAAAAGAGATTTAAACATGTTTGCTTGGCAGCAAGCTGGGCTGAACAAAAAACTGCCAATAGAGCAGTACAGTGGCTTTAGCTGGGACAGATCCCTAGGCTTTGCAGATTTCTCACGAACAATCAGGCTTCACAGCTTTTATAAAGAAAAGCAAAATTCTTATAGCCTGGATGTCTCCTTTGTTACTAACATGGTTAAACTTTGTGGCTTTTTCCCATTGAAATGAGATACATGGAGCAAAACCTCAAGCTCCATTTTCAGTTTTGAAATTTGAATGCTGTTCAGTTTTCTACTGAAACAATAGCTCTTCATTTGAGTATTTGGAGCTTAGTAAAAGGACTGGAATAAGATTTTTTTTTTTTTTTTAAAAGTCTTTGTGTGCAGCCCTAATCATATTATAAGCCTGAAAACAAGGATTTAAGAAAGAAGTTTGTTAGGCTTTTTTTTCTCTTTGAGAGTCCAGTCAAAAGCACGGTGCCTCTTCTACGACATGAAGTTGTTTCAGTGGTTAAATTTCTCTTAATACAAGGAATGGTTTTTTTTTTCTCTGGAAAAATCTAGATGCTGAGATAAAAGCAAATATGGTGGAAGCACCTAGACAGGATCACTGGAAATGCGGGAAGGCTTGAGCTCTGGAGGAGACAGAACTAGGAATTAGGTTAATCTCTAACAGGAAGTATAGTCACGTTGTTTGAAGCGCCAGCTATGCACAACAAGTGCCTTCTACTTCTGTTGGAGCATTGTGATTGCTGGCCTAGGAAATGGCCTAATTCTGAAGTTTACCAAGCGCTCGCCAGAACTTACTGTGATTGGAAGAGATCCTGAATGTGCTTAGATCTTGCCTCAAAATAGGATAAAAATAGTCTGAAAGGTTTTTTGGTTCGGGGTTTTTTTTTGTATTTTTTTAACCACATGTAGGAGGAGAATGGGCACCAGTATCTGCAGACAGAACCAAACCAAATTAACCAAATGGGGCCTAATTCTTCTTGTTTATAGACAAAGTTCAGGAGATAGTCTAAATTATAAAAGTGATGTAGAGGAAAGGGAAACCAAACTCAGGGAATACTTATTGTTAGATTCTGTTATTCTGCTAAATATGGAAGCAAGATTCTTGGCTGAGAATTAGAAATTTTAAAGCAAGTGGAAACCAGGTGGGTTAACAAATGAGCTTTGTTTTGACATTCTGAGTGCATCTTTGTGTTCATGCAACTTGAATGCTTACTGTGTGTTCTGATTGGTTTGGGGGGTTTTTGGTTGTTTCTTTTTTTCTTAATAGATGGTGAAAGTGTAAATGGAAGAGAGGAATCTGTGAACCTTAATGATGCTGATGAAGGATTTTCATCAGGAGCTTCCCTCAGCAGCCAGCCAGTTGGGACCAAACCTCTATCATCTGTATCCCAGAAGGGCAGCTTAAGGAAAACAGCAAGTGGCCGTTCTGCTAAGGATAAAGAAACCTCTTCTGCAGCAAAATCCAATGAGAGCCCTCGAGATTCAGTAGCTCGGAAGCAGTACATGCACCAATCCACTGACCTTGGTGCAGATATAATTGAGATGACACCTACTAAGAAACACCTCAGCCTGCCTGCTGGGCAGGTGGTGCCAAAAGCCAACAGTTTGAGCCTGATCAGGACCGCCAGTGCTTCCTCCAGTAAATCATTTGACTATGTGAATGGCAGTCAAGCAGGCTCCAGTGTTGGAGCTGGTACAGAGAGTGTTACCAATCTAGCAGCTGGCAACACCAATCGGTTTTCAACTATCAGCCTACAGGAGGACCGACTGGGCCAAGCTGGGGAAGGTAAAGATCTCCTTCCCCCAGGAGCTCCCCTAACCAAGCAGTCTCGATCTCCAAGTTTCAATATGCAGCTGATATCCCAGGTGTAACTTTAACTCCCTTCCTTAGGACTCCCTCTTTCCCCGTAATCCCCAGGCAAGTTCATCCTTAGGCAAAACGTGAACCATCATCCTGCAGTGTGAAAATACTGACTGTTGTGATCTTGTTTGATTTGGTTTAGCTGTCATACTGTATTACTGAAACAGCAATAATTCTTCCCTCACCTTCATCCTCCCCCCGCCCCTCCCCTTGTAAACATGGTTGTGAAGCAGTATATAATGTACTGTATGCCTTTTTCCATGCCTTCCTTTCTCCTTGGGTGATGTGCAATCCATCGTAGGCTGATCAGTCCCATTTCAACACTGTGAGACTGGAGACACCGGCGGAAATGGTGAATGTGATCCCTATGAGATGATGCTTTGGCTTTGTTAAGAAATAGAAACGGGTTTGTTTTCTCGGTCTACAGTACTGCAAAGACTACTGGATCATGACTTTTCTTTCTCAGAACCAGGAGTGCCTCAGAGATTCTAGTGTGACTTTGGACCTCTCTGAGTCTGTGCAATCAATTCTGGGGAGGGGATTGTCATTGCTGCTCCTGGCTGCGTACAGCACTTTTTTCATTAAAATGAGGGTAGTTTTTTCTTGCCTGCCCCCAGTCTCTCATCCCAGAAGCTTTTGATGTTCAGCAACTGAGACATGCGTATTAACAAGTTGTTTTCCCTCAAAGAGAGGATTCTCAGTAGATAATGTTGGTTACAATGCACTTCTAATGGCGTTGTAGCCATATGTAATGTTACATGTCTTCCCCACCAGGACACAGGGTCATTCTGCATATAGACTAAAATTTAGACAACCATGCTGTTAAAGCAATTTGGTTTGTAAGTGGGAGGGAAACACTATTTTCCCAGGAACTAATAGCTAGCTCTGCTCCATTTTTGTTGTTGTTATTCTTGTGAGGTGCTGATCACTGAATTGAAAGGTGTATTCGGGTAGAGTATTTCTCAGGCTGCTTTATATGGTATCGTGGCTGTTTGACACCCCCGCCCCTCTCAGCTGCTTTCTCAGTGTCCCTGAATTCAATCATGGAGTCGCTTGAAGAATCCTGCAGTCCAGACAGACCATACTCTTAAGGGGCTGTCTCAGGGATAGAGACAATAGTTTGCTAGAAACACTGAAGCTTCAATGTGAAATGCTTTTCTAGAAACACCGTTTGTGCAAAGGGGTACTGACAGTCCTTTTTTCCCTGAAGGATCACACCTCATTGCCTTGGTATTTATAATCCGTTGAGTTTTATTAACTCTTATTTTAGTGAATTGGCCCTACTCTAGAAAATTCAGAACTCATGCCATTGAGCCAACCCTTAATGTGTATCATTGGTGTATGGGCACTGGCTGGTACTTATGCTAGAGAATACTGCTTAGAAGCACAATTCTGGTTACGCAGGAGAATGGCATTCTCTCTATCTCTCTTTATCTCTTTTTGGATTGCTAGAGAGAAAAGGGGAAAGTTCATCCTCTATGCATAAGTCATGTATAATATCCTGGAAGTTTACAAATTGTAAACCCACAGGAAAGAGTTATGATCATTATGTGGGCACTTTGGTTTCACTGTCACTGTGAAGGATAAACATAAGCAGTTACAAATAGCAGGCTATCTTTGAATGATAGTCTTGAAGAAAATCAGGACAATGACATGGTGTTGCATTGCTGGTAGTTGGGGTTTTTTTTGTTTGTTTTTTTTTTTTTAAAATCTCATTTCAAATAGAACTTTTTTCAAATTTACATTAAAATTCATTTAAATATTTGCAGGTTTTTTTGTGGTTTGACAAGTCACTGGTAGTCTAGTCTTCATATGTTACATTCATAAAGTGAATTAAATGGCATCTGGACTGATGCAGAAATTCAATTAAAGAGTAAATAGAATCATCATCAGAAAGAAGACCTTACAATTTCTAAATTGAAGTTAATCTTTAAGGTCCACCAGTCACACACAGATGGAACTAAGGCAAAGTTGAGATTAAGCTACAAGGCATTTTCTGAAAAAAATGTCAAAAGCTGTATAGGGTTTAACTCTTCTTTATTTTATAAAGTTTTACTAGTGGACACAATTGATAAGTTGTGGCTGAAAGTACAAAGTTTCTATTTTGTAGAGACTATCACAAAGGAAATTCTATTAAAGAGCCATCACTAAATTGGAAAGGACCAAATAATTTGCTTAAATTTTTGGCAAAGAAAAGGCCAGGAGTGTCATCTAATTTTTTTAAGAATTACTTTATTTTAGTATTTTAAAAAGTAGAATTGTTCATTAGCAAGGTTCTCTCTATATGTGGCATTACAGTCCAGAAGTTTTAGGACACTTAAATTGGCATCAGGCCAAATTTCACAACCTTTTTTGGTTTGGGTTTTTTTTGGTTAATATTCTTACCTGTGGGGTCCCACACTGTTAAACTATTTCAGGAAAGTGAGACAGCTCAGTGACTTCAGATAGGGAAGTCAGATGTAGGTGCATAAATTCAATTTGGTTGAAACTTTAGTCAAATTACCTTTTAAGATATTTTTACAGTTCTCATTTTGATTATGTGCCTTTTGTTACTGTTTCATCCATTGTATTTTGCTTTGTTCTTGTGTATATATACCTACCCCATATAAGGCTTTTTAGAGAGTTCAAATTTATCCCTGTAAAAAAAAAAAAATTTTCCTATGTGCTAATGTGGTACATCTGCAACTCCTCAAGATTACCCTTTTAGTGCAGTGTTTCAGTTGTGGGAGCTTATTTTGTCATTTTTCAGACAAGTACTGTTCAACATCTATCTTACAAAATGAGTCATCACTAATGTCTACAAACCAGCTGTAATAACCGGCTTTGCCAGTGCTATCTATCATGTTTATCATTAATGCTTCTAGATGTGTCTCAAACTATGCCAAGGTGCTTTAAGATCATAGTGAAACTTTATACACTGAAGTTGAGTACATTTCAAAGTACTGTGGCAGAAACAAAATTAGAAGTGTCTGGGATATGGGTTGAGGGAATAATCTGCCACCTTTCTGGTTATATATGCTAAGTCCTAAACAAAGTACAAAACATACTTAAATTTTCTGACATCTGTGACAAATATTTAGACTTAAATGTCTTTATCCTGAGTTCACTCTGCTGTGTCTTGTTTTAGAGCGTTTGGTACTTGACATGAGGCTAGATTTCTGCAGTATTTCAGTGCAACTACAGCATTATAAAAGAAGGTAAAAAAGCAGAACACTACTACTTTTCCCTATGTATGCGCATATGCATGCACATACGTGTAATTCTTAGGCAAGGAAGTGTGGGTACTATATTTTGATGTATATATACATGTCAAGGAATAATTCATTTATTCCTACTTACACAATATTTACCACATCACAATATGCTGCCATTTTGCAACTCATTTTTGTTGGGTTTTATAATTTTAAGAAAATACAAAATGTTGGGATTGCTAACTCCACTTGATTATCCTTTTCAGGGGATTACTGTGGGCAGCTTTTTGGTTGAATGATGAGCCCTTTTTTCATCCTGCAGGCAGCAAAGATGAAGTACACCTGTTAAAATGAATGTTGCAAGATGACAGTTTAAATTGCTGTATGATCCTTTTAGTTTTCATTTGGAGACCTTGAATGTCACTGTTCATTTTAAATGCAGATTTCTTTGAACACCCTTTCTGATGTGAATTTGGAAGAGTTTTTTAACAGCATACTTCATTCTGTAATGCTGAACATCATGTTGCAGCCAGTAAGCATTAGATCTAGTATTTGTAGTTTGCAAGTGTGTTAGTCTTAAACACAACATTTCCAACATACTCCTGCTAGCTTTAACATAATTCAGATTGTCTGGTTTAACATCAAAATAGTGAGAAAAAAATGTTTTCTGACAAAGTATTTATTTGCACTACTTATGAATACTGGAGTTTACTGGGACAGGGTTTTTTCTCACCATGTGAGGTTTACTTGTGTGTGGGTAGGTACATACATTTGTCACGTGTTGACAATCAATTGCCTCAAATGTGTGTATACTGTATGTAAATATAAACATATTTTTCAAGATTGAGGGGGAAACCTGCATCTTAATGGTGGTAAAGCTACTCTGTAGTAAGGTGACCCCAAGTCTAACCCCCTTTTGTCTCCAGGTATGTGGTTTGTTTTACTTCTTTAATGAAGATTATTAGTGTTCTTGGAAAATTTTAGCTCCAGGGAAATGTTCCTCAATATCTAATGTATAATGTGTTCAGAGGATTATATTTTGAAAAATTAATTTTGGAATAGTTAATTCTATGCTATGGCTGTATTTTAACCTAAGAGTTTAAACTTGTCCTATTTTATCATGAACCAATGGCTATCTCTTTTAAGTGTTCAGCATTTAAACATCGGTCACAAACCAGAAAATTTTGTTTATCTTGGCTTACAAATTTAAATTAATTTGAAGACTAAGGGAGATGAAGAATAACTTTTTGAGTAAAATCATAAAAATCAAGCAGCACAGACCTAGGTACTGTACTCGCAATCCTGGAGGAGGTGTGGAAAATGTAGTGGAACATGTTTGAATTAAATACATGTACTGCACACAAAACAAAAAGATGTTTCTGATGTTAGTAAATGTAATAATCTCATCCTTAAATTCTGCAATTCTCTCATTGCCAAAGATATTGCTACCTTGGCATGTTTAATATAGCATTAAAGCCATTAGCTAGGTCTCATTTGTAATAACCATTTACATCATAGGAATAGTTTGCATCAGAAGAATAAATGTGCCCCTTTTATTTATTTAAATTTCTTGTTTAGGATAATTGCAGGATTAAAGTTGCAAAATACCACTCCTTTCCAAGCATGGTAAGCAAAGAAACCAGATCCTCTGTACTTGCATTGCATTCTTGGTTTATATCAAGTTGTTCAGTATTTCATATTTTCTTCAGTAGTTTAAATGCTGTTTGTTTCTAGCATATGGACCTTAATCTCTCTTGATTATTTTTAAGTTTGTTTTCCCAGTGGCACTCGGATAAACTTTGTGGAAAGCTTTTCTGCAGGTGATTCAGGGTAACGAATCATGACATGGGTGTTGTATTAGTGAATACAGGTATCAGTCTGTCAAAATTTCCATGTCATGATCAGCTGAAGAGCCAAAATACTCGATGCCTCTTATACGGTGGTGGAAGGTGATGGAGAGCTGTGAGCAGCTTGGTTTGTCAGTAGTTCCTGAAGACAAGCAGTAAGTGGATTTTGCAAGACTGATATGTATGAGGATTTCCACATAGTTATTATGAAATTTTATTTAAAATAAAACAAATCTTGGAGTAAGATTTCAAAACTAGCCATTTCAGATAGACTTGCCTAGTAAGTTTGGCAAGCGTCAAGGCCTGTGACATTACAAGTTCAGAAGCAAGCTGTGGAAGTCTAAGGGTACCTTACAGCTTCCAGAAATGGATTTAGTAAAAATCTGTCCCATGTTACTTGTCTGTATTCAAGACTTCATTAAAAAAATACAATTCTTGCTTCCATTCTTTCATTCTTTTATTTATTTTTCTTTAGGCTACCCCTCTCCCCTGATTTTGTTTTGGGGTTTTGGGGGTTTGTTTTTGTTGGTTTTTGGTTTTTTTTTTTTTTTACTGTGTTCATCAAATTTTACCGAAGGTAGTATCTGAGGGACCAAATTAATTTGAAATGGGTCCATAAATTATCCCGCCTATGATTAAGGATTAGTAAGCTATTTCTGTGAGGAGCTGTTGATGGGAACAGATGTATAGTAAAACTTTGTGTCTCCACAGTAAAACCTTGCCCTACATTTTAACTTGTGCTTGATGAGCAAAGTGATGAGATCACGTTTTATTAACCACTTGGTTGTGAGCTCCCAGTGTTTACAGTCGGTGAGATATAGGCAATTTAGATTGGAGTATCTTTGCATTCTGATAGAACTCTTTAAAGCAGTTTAAGTTTTGACTCTTGAGAATGTGATTAATCACTCATTAAAATGTGGTATAGAATTCACACAGGTTTTTGGTTTTAGTGGGTAAAATGGTCAGGAAAGATTTCTGTTTAGGAAAGTAACTCTATGGTGCGCTGTCATGGAAACTTCTTTACAAATCGGTAGTGGATCCTGTGTGTTTGAGTCCTGTCCTGCCCAGAACTGATCAGGGAAAAAAAAAAAAAAAAAAGTATGAATGAAGCAAGCTTTTTACCTTTTGGTCTAAAATAAGGAGGACTTGGGATTGACGGAAATACTGGCTATTGACGCTGTTTTTTCTGTTCGGTTATTATTGTTGTGCTAGACTTTCATGTTATTAGTTTATGAAAAATGCAAGTAGTAAAAACTTTGTGGCTCCAAGTATACAGTAGATGTGTGTTAACAATCACTCAGGATAAAACAATTTGTCCAAGTATTAATAGATTCCTAGTACTGGGGTGTGTCTGTGTGTTTTTGTGTGCCAGTGTTCAATTACTTTGAAAGATGACTTCTTACTGTTTTCTTGCAGATAGTGAATACTTTTGGGATGGATATTACTAGCTGGTTATTTATGGAAAAATACCATATGATTAAATAAAATTGAGTCATTTAACATTTTTTCCATATTGAAGATTCCAGGAAAAAGCTAATAAAGATTTTTAATAATTAAATCAGATACAATGAATTTTAGCTACTATGGTAGCTTTTATTTGCTATAGAAAAAACCCCAACAAGTAAATTGAGGTACCCCATGCTGCATTTTTTTAAATTTGTAATTCCTGTACTTTACAATGAATCTTTTGATCTGTTTTTGTCCTTGTAAGAATACAGGATACGCCGTCAATTTTACTAGCAAAAAGAAACATTCTGCAAGGGTTAAAAGGTTATTTTCTTACTTTTTTCTGTCATACCAGGTTTGTTTCTCTGAACTAAGGTTTCTGAGGATTTTTACTACTTTAGCGTTATGTAATCTTATCTCTGTCACAGAAAGAGCATAAGCAGCAAGTAGCCCACTTCTTGTGGACAAACAGGCTAGGCGAGAGGATGTGGCTTGGTGGTGTGCCCCCTCTTCACCAGGAGAGCCCTTCGTGCTGGGATGAACCCCAGGCGGTCAAGATTCGGTACTGGTGAAGGACTAAACCAAACGGGTTTTTAATAACCGCAACCTCTGCTGTATGATGTCCTTTGACCTGGGACCAGGGAAAATCTTCATTCTTAGACCTGAAGATGGCACGTATTGAAGATCATGTTATTGGTGCATGTAAGCCATTATCTTAACTGTCTTACTGAGCTGGTTAATGCTGTTGACTGTTGTTGAAATGTGAAATGTAGTTACTATTGACTTTGTAAATATCTGCCAGAGATGAAATATAATTATTTTAAATCATTGTAAATAGAGATGTATAAAACTCGACACAATCTGCAATGCAGAAAAAAAATTATATATATATAAATATATAAAGATGTTAAATAAATATTGTGCTGTTTCTGAACAGAAATGAATACTTTGCAAACTGCTTGGGGTTTTGGTTTTTTTTTTTTTTTTAGCTTTGATTTACGTTGACGGGGGTGTGTAACGGGGGGTACATCTCCAGGCTTTCCTCAGCGTGGACACCCACGAACACGCGAGTGCGTGGGGTGGGAGGCGGGGAGCAGCCCCCGGAGGTTCCCTGTGCCGGGGAGGAGCGTTCCCCGTATCTGCTGTCGTCCGAGTGTTTCCCTGAAGCAGTGCGGGCCGACCGGGGCCGGGCCCGGGCCCTGAGGAGAGCTCCCTCCCGGCGGGAGGGCGGGGGCGGACGGTTTCCGCCCGGCGCTCAGGGCGGCTTCGCGTCGCCACGGCAAGCCCGGGC